CCCCAGTGAGGGCTGGGGGCGTGGCTCAGGGGTGGAGCCCCGCCTAGAATCCCCCAGTGAGGGCTGGGGGCGTGGCTCAGGGGTGGAGCCCCGCCTAGAATCGCCCAGTGAGGGGCTGGGGGCGTGGCTCAGGGGTGGAGCCCCTGCCTAGAATCCCCAGTGAGGGGCTGGGGGCGTGGCTCAGGGTGGAGCCCCCGCCTAGAATCCCCAGTGAGGGGCTGGGGGCGTGGCTCAGGGGTGGAGCGCCGCCTAGAATCGCCCAGTGAGGGGCTGGGGGCGTGGCTCAGGGTGGAGCCCCCGCCTAGAATCCCCAGTGAGGGGCTGGGGGCGTGGCTCAGGGTGGAGCCCCCGCCTAGAATCCCCAGTGAGGGGCTGGGGGCGTGGCTCAGGGTGGAGCCCCTGCCTAGAATCCCCAGTGAGGGGCTGGGGGCGTGGCTCAGGGGTGGAGCCCCGCCTAGAATCCCCAGTGAGGGGCTGGGGCGTGGCTCAGGGGTGGAGCCCCTGCCTAGAATCCCCCAGTGAGGGGCTGGGGGCGTGGTCAGGGTGGAGCCCCGCCTAGAATCCCCAGTGAGGGGCTGGGGGCGTGGCTCAGTGGCAAAGGGCAGACGTAGTATGTATGAGCCCCTGGTTCCTATCCCGTCCCATACACAGAAGCCAGCTCCAGCATCTGGCAGATGCCCTCTTGCAGGTCGGTAGCAGCCCTGCCCTGGCCTCTCTGCCTTTTATCTTAAAGTCTTAGGGATCTGAATCGTCCGGAACCTGGGGCACTGGGCTGCTTCCTGCTTCTTCTAGAGGCCTGGCCAAGGTCCTCAGGCGCCTCCCTCCACACCTGGGCTCTGGCTGTGGGAAACTGCCCTCTCAGGGGAAGGCGGTTTGCAGGCCCGAGAGACAGGCCAAGTGTGACTTCTAGGGCCTCGCAGTGAGTCAGGCCAAGGGGGCCTCCAGGGAGCCGTGTGAGGTGGGAATCTGCCTGGACCTGGCCAGCTTGGAAGCCCGCCCCTGGCTCTGCTTTCCAGAAGTCAGCTCCAGCTTGAAAGTTCTCACGGCTCAGCTCCCTGCGCTCCCCCAGTGCTGGCGGCACCTGGCTGAGTCTCTGCAGCCTGGGACCTAGCCCAGGGGGACCTGGCCAGAAGATGCCCATACACAAGAGAGGTGAGTGCCAATCAGCATCCCAACCCCAGCGTTTGTGGCACTCCCGTCCAGGCAGGGCCCCTGCTAAGCTTGCCTTCCAGGGTTCCCCGGGGCTGACCCAGCAGCCACAGCCCCCTCCTCACCAGCTGAACTCTGATACGCTGCCAGCAGCCATGTGCCCAGCCGCAGGGGTTGATTTAAGATTCGGTCCGCACCGTTCTTGGCACTGCTGATGGATGCGGTTGTTTTCAATCCGGGCACAGCTCCCAGCTCTGGCCAGCAAGCTCCAAGGGGTCGGAAGTTTCTTTGGACAAGAGGGAGGCTTTGCTGCCCCTCCCTCACTGGCTGCTTCCTCTGTGGACAGGATGCCAGGAGCTAATGCAGCCATCTTGTGGCTGTGATGAGCAAGGTAAGTGGATCATGGAGACATCCCAGCCTCCTAAACCCTTAAAGTCACAATCCATCCTCCCATCCTGGACCTTGGACCTCAGACTCCTTGTTATTCAAAATGCTACTTAAGACGCAGCAGACAGATTTTTGGAGAGCTGAGACCAAACAATTCAAAATTAGGGGCCAGCAAGATGGCTAGAATTCACCCCCCAGACCCACGTGTGAGGGCCAGAACTGACACCTGCGGCTTGCCCTTTGACCTCCGTGTGTGTTCCATGGTGTGCACACACGCCAAGCACATGCACACCAAACAGAACATGGCACAGCAGCTAAGAGTGCCATGAGTTCAGATTGTAGCACCCACAAAGAAACTGGAGCGTCTGTAACCCCAGTGCTGTGGCGGGCGGAGACCCCAGCTCCAGGGCCCATCATAGAGCAGCACGCTCATTCTCCTGCCTCTACTTGTACACGTACACATAATGTGAATGTGACGGACAGGCACGCAGCTCCAAGAGAGTGCTCCCCTAGCATGTGTGAGGCCCGGCATTCAGTTGTGAGGTAACACCCTTGCACACAAAACTGGGCATGGTGGTACACACTTATCATCCCAGCAGCCTAGAGCTGAGACGTGAGGGCTGCAAGTCTAACCCAGCCTGGGCTACAAAGGGAGATGTGCAGTAGCTTCCAGAAGTGGCCAGGGCCTGAGTTCGGGCTAAGAAGAAGCAAAGGAGTGAGGTGCCAGACGCTGAGCTGGGGGATGTCATAGTCCTGGATGCTGAGGGCACTTACCTTGTCACTGCACACCACATCAGAGGACAACCGTCAGGAGCTGGTTGTCTTCTTCCACCCCGTGCGACCCAGGGACCGAACTTAGGTCATCATGCTTGGTGGCAAGCTCCTTTACCCACGGAGCCATCTTGCCAGCCCTGTTCCACCTCGTTGAGTAGGAAAGCCCTCACCTGGTGCTCCTGTCTTAGTTATGAAGCGTCTGACACCGTGACCAAGGCACCTTAGGAAGGGAGAGTTCACTGGGCTTTGCAGGTTCAGAGGTGAGTCCGTGGGCATCCTGGCCGGCAGCCAGCCCTGCCGCAGCAGCCATGGCGCTGGAGCAGCAGCTGAGAAGCCACACAGTGAGACAACGACCACCAGGTAGGGAGCACACGGGAATGGAGCGGGCTTTTGAAAGCTCACAGCCAACCAGTGACATGCCTCCTCCAACAAGTCTACACCGCGTCATCCTCCCCACTTCCACCAACTGGTGGCCATTCTCATTGAGACCACCATGCCCAGTCTGTGTCCTCTGTCTATATTTCTGCTTACAGGAGAGGCAGCACATCTGTGAATTAGTCAGCTACTGCTACATAAGAAAAAGACCCAGCTGGGTGGTGGCGGCGCACCCCTTTAATCCCAGCACTTGGGAGGCAGAGGCAGGCGGATCTCTGTGAGTTCAAGGCCAGCCTGGTCTACAGAGTGAGATCCAGAACAGGCTCCAATGCTACAGAGAGAAACCCTGTCTTGAAAAACCAAAAGAAAAGAAAGAAAGAAAGAACCCCATAGCTAGGTGTGGTGGCACACCCCTTTAACCCCCAGAAGCAGGCAGATCTCTGAGTTCAAGGCCAGCCTGGACTTCAAGAGAGCATTCCCAGCAGGGCGTGGTGGCCCATGGCTTTAATCCCAGCAGACAGATCTCTGAGTTTGAGGCCAGCCTGGTCTACAGAGTGAGTTCAGGACAGCCTGGGCTACACAGAGAAATCTGTCTCAGTAGCCCCCATTCCCCCAAAAAAGTAGTAAGAGAGCATTCCAGGACAACTGGGGTTACAGAGTGAGACCCTGTCTCAAAAACAAAACAGAACACCTAAGAAACAGCCCTGCACGAATTGTTAACACATGGTTCTCCTGTGGGTGAGTGGGCATTGAGTGTGTCATCCAGGCTGATGAGGCTGCAGTCTGTTTCTGGCTGTGAGGCTATTGACTGGCAGCGCTCTGTGTTCCTGTCTTGCACACTTCTGAGGCCAGCAGCAAGCCAAGACTCCATTCCCGCCGCACGGTGTCCAAGGCCACGGGAACCGTGTTCAGCTGCTGAGGTCTCGCTAGGAGGCTGCTGTGCAGCTGCATCTACCCTGGGCACAGCACAAAGCCAAGGCCAACGTGACCAGTGGACGTTTCTCCCTGAAAAGAAAGAACCAAAGTATTCCAAGGCCAAGGCTGTGGGTACAGGCACAGGTGGAGAATGGGAACCAATA